AGTTTTGCTGCTGCCCCCCTCCACAGCAGTGCATTGCTTAGCATTTGTGGCGATACTCCCACCTGCTTCTCCAAACTGGGGGCGTACCGATCGCCATCTACTGAAGGTAACACGCTAACTGTGGATAAAAACCTCACATGACCCCACTTCAAAAAATTCCAAACTATAGATAGATATCACAGAACCAGTTCACCCACATTTTCACCTGTAGTGCTTCGGCTTAATCTCGACGCAGACATTGTTGTTAAGTGTTCTCCACTCTCTCAGTCACAGGTCAGACTCAGGTTGATGCTACCAATCCAATCACCAGTACCAGCATTAAGAAAAACAAATTAAACTTTTAGAATCTGTGAACTGAACTGTTGATGTGTCCACCTTACAGACCACGCCAGACACCTCACCAAGTTCATGATGAGGAAGCCGACCATCGTCAAACTGACGTCCAACAGAGAGGCCGACATCCAACAGTTTGTCGACTTCATCACCAAAGACTCCATTCAGCAGTCGCTCGGCATGTATATGGAGATGCTGAAGAAGAGACGAGGATAGAGAAGACAAGGAAATGACTCACGTGTACAAACGTAAAGGAGACTTTGTCGCATGTGTTGAAATCACATCCACTTAGCTGTGCTAGATCCTTGAATGCAGCTCTCTGCAGCTCATCTTCATGACAGTGGATGTAAACCAATGCTCCAGTGACAAATAAATCTTTTTTCTATCCAAATTTCTGAGTATTTAAGTTCAATTCTTTAATTAATTACAGTTTACTTTTAAAATGTTCTGCCTTTTTTTAAATAAATATTTATTAAGCTAGTTAGCTTGACATGCTAACATTTGAAGTTTACATCAAGCACCAGACTTTTCCTCATGTGTTCTTGGTTTTGTAAAATCCAAAGAAATACACCAGCCTTTACACACTGCTCTGGCAAATGGAGGAATCCAAACTGGACAGACCTGCCGTGCCTCGCAACATATCCTCACACAGTCCCTCCAGGAATTAATGCAAATTCAGCCAGTCTTCATAAACTCTGCACGACCTTGCGATTTTGTCCAGTCACCACAACTTTACAGCAACTTTAACTATTTAAAACTAGTAATACTTCAGTGTAGAGCTGTGTGGAGCGATTGATTCGCTCAGCCTCTCATGAGACTACTGCTGTGCCTGGGAGAGAGTCCCACACAGTGACAGGGATAACTGTTAGCACCACACTGCTAACGTCACCCAGTGTTTATTAACAGGTTTGATGACAGCATTTCGTTGTCGGTGTGAGCTGCAGTTAAAAACATTGCTTCTTACTTTATTTGTCTCTCCTGGTTGTTTTTATTCTTTTTCATTTATTTACTTTCTTTTTGTTCTTAGGACTTTAAATCATCTTTTTGTTAGTTTGTTCTGTTTGGTTCGGTTTTCTAATATTTTATTGTCTTATTGTTGCGATTTTCTAGTTTTGCAAAACTTTATGTTCAGTTATTTGTGTTGTCCTTTAAACTGAATCAGAATCAGCTCTATTGGCCAAGCACATGTGCGCATACAAGGAATCTGACTTCAGTAAACTTTGCTCTCAGTGTACCAGTGTTGACAATTACTAAAAATTAGACAAAGAAAGTGGAAGTAGAACTAAACTTAATTCAAAATTAAATTAAGTAATATTTACAAGCCCTAAATATGTGTCAAATATACAAAAAGTATACAAGTCTATGAGGTAAAAACAGAGCAAGGATGCAAGTGTTGTTTGACCTGCCACTCTGTGACTGTTAGGAGATCATCAAACGACAGCCTGGGGGAAGAAACTGTCTTTGTGACGGGTGGTTTTGGCGAACAGTGCTCTGTAGCGCCTACCAGAGGGGAGGAGTTTAAACAGATTGTGTCCGGGGTGTGAGGAGTCAGCAGAGATGTTCCCTGCTTGTTTCCTGACCCTTGACCTGTACAGGTCCTCAATAGAGGGAAGATCAGTCCTAATAATCCTCCCTGCATACCTGATTGTCCGTGTCAGTCTGGATTATGGCGGTGTAGAACATAATCAGCAGTTCCTGAGGCAGGTTGAGCTTCCTGAGCTGTCGCAGGAGGTACAGCCTCTGCTGGGCCTTTTTTCCGGACAGTGTCTATGTGGGAGGTCCACCTCAGGTCCCGAGAGATTGTGGTACCCAGAAACCTGAAGGTGTCCACAATAGACACTGTGCTGTTGAGGATGGTGAGGCGGGGCAATGTTGAGGGGCTTCTCCTTAAGTCCACTGTCATCTCCACAGTCTTGAGCGGCATCCGACCGATGACCGTGGTGTCGTCTGCAAACTTCAATTTTGACACCTTTCATAGTGTGGATGCATCATTTCAAACACAAGCGCAACGACTTTCACAAACCACTTAAGACTGGACACAGAGTTTTGTATTGAGTAACTACTACTACTACAACCGCTGTCAAGCTGCTGGAGGCACACCAGGCTGCCTCATCAGTACCGTAGCCTTTTCTCCCTGATGATCACTGTCTCCACAATCCAGTCAGCCTGTTTCATCCTCGTCAAACTCGCTGTTTCCTTCTAAATCTTCATGACGGCTCTGACGAGAGAAAACTTTGGACCAGCAAAGATTTTTTTTCAATCCATTTAAAGGTCCAGTGTCCAGTGTCAGGATTTATAGAGATATATTGGCAGAAATGTTACATAATATTAATAATGTTATGTTTTCTTTAGTGTATCCATTTCAGTTCTGCAACCTGACCACTACATGTCACTAAATCCTGCACTTTTAAAGGAATGAGTGCACCAGCACAGCACCTCAACCAACATGTTTTACACAAATATGACAACAGCACCCTCGAGTGACTTTACTGTCGAATTACATGTGAACTAAGAGAGCTGAGAATCTGTATTACATACTGAGCTCTTCTTTACTTTGAATCAGCTGCTTAGAGGCACAAAAACAACAAGTGATTCATTTCTAACTGATTATGAATTAACTACTTTTCTGTTCCTCCTGAAAGTCAAAGTGAAACTTCACACTGTGTCTCCTTCAACTAAATATTTGTCCTTCTGAACTTACTGTTCACATCCATGTGTCATGACATGGTGCAGAAATAACAATTCACTAACCACATTCAGCCCTTCAGTTTGACAACAAATTTAAGAAGAGACGACATATTTCAATAAAAACATTCAATAATATTTATTTCTTTATTTTATAGTGATGTACAAACAAACAGTCATACTAGTCAAAATGGGAAGAAATAATGAAATCAGTTACAACAGTAAGTAAAATATAATTATAATATTCAGAGTCTGTTTAAACACAACGGGCAGAAAAAATTGTTTATCCGGTTGTCGTCCATGGTCATGGCTGTTAGGTGTGTTTTTATTGGTGCGTGCTGTTTGTGTGATTGGATGTGTAATTTGTGTGTGAATCCTTGAGCTCAGCTTTCTGAGGACGCAAAATGAACGTAAGTGTAAACTGACAATTAAGTTGTATCCTATCATACCATATCGCATCGTATCATATCTCATATTGTATCTCGCATTGTATTGTATCTCATATCGTATTGGATCTTGTAAAGCATCATATCGTATCTTGAATCATATTACATTGTATCGTACTGTATTGTATCTCGCATCGTATATATCGAATCATATCACATTGTATCGTACTGTATTGTATCTCGCATCGTATATCTCGAATCATATCACATTGTATCGTAGTGCATCGTATCTCGCAGCGTATTGTATCATATCGTATTATATCTCATATCACATTGTATCTTATCTCGAATCGTATCATATCTCAAATCGTATCGCATTGTATCGCACTGTATCGTATCTCGCATCGTATTGTATCATATCGTATTGTATCTTATATCTTATCGTAGCACATCATATCATTTTGTATCTTGTATCTCATCATATGTTGTATCGCATTGTATCGTATCATATCTTGTCTTGCATCATACCTTGTATTGCATCATATCGTATATCGTATCGTACTGTATCATATCGTATGGTATCTCGGATCACATCGTACCGTATCTTGTATCGTATCTTGTATCATTTGTTATTGTAGCACATCGTATTGTATTGTATCTTGTATCACATCGTATCATATCGCACATCATATCGTACCGTGTTGTATATCGTATTGCATCGTATCATACTGAAAAGACACAATGCATGTAACGAGCGTAAACTGAGAAGCTGTCCAAAACCATCTAACGCATAATTTTTTTTCGTGTAGTGGCAGTGGTATTTGACAAGTTGGGATGAAAATGCGTTGAAACAGGCCCAAAATTACTATAGGAAAGACAACATTTAAATAAACAGTAATTTTAGCGTGTATAGAGGCAGCATGTTTTCACATGTAACTGGGTGATTTAAGGATTCATTCAACTAAAACCAGAGTTGGCGATTGTTGAATCAGTGGAGAGACGAACCAAGAAGGCTTCTGTGAGCTTTATTTTGTTTCTGTCCACTTTGCATGAAGACTGTTGTACCATGATAAAATTCCTGTTTATTTAAATGGTGTCCGGTGGGTTTAATGATGGTGATTTCAGGGCTGTTTCTGGTTAAAAAAAAAGGATCTTACTCTTCAAGACAAAGCTCTGTCTCTGAAGGGATCCTTTCATAATGTTGTGAGACACTTAGAATAATAATCTGAGCCTGTCAGTGACTAAAACAAACACTTTTAGTGGACATAGATTGAAGGTGCACAATTGCCCCTTTACGTTACATTGCAAGCTGTTTCACCGCTGCCGGCTGCAACCCTCCGGCTTAATACTGGACAAATTCTAAAAACTGTTCTTTCCATCAGTCACCAAGACACCAAAACATGAAAACAGCGTCCAGGTTGAGAAACACTGAAGGGTCCCTTTAATGTGAAATGTTTCCACTTAAGAAAAGTTTGAGCGGTCCACCATCACAATCAAACAGGTTCTTTAAAAAGGTGATGTACCTGTCAACACCTGATCCTGTGACCGTGCTGTTTAATGTGTGCGTGGCAGTGATGTCACAGAGGAGGAGTCACACGCGCCTCTCTGTCGGATCCTCTCAGATGAACGCATGCCTTTACCTCGGAGCGCTTTACGTCAGTTTGAGCAGGAACAGGAAAATCTACGCTGACTGCAGAGCAGCCGGTGGAGTTTGAGGTCCTGGTGACAAAGTGTGAAGCGGTGGATGCATCTTGATTTTCTGTGTGTGTCACCGAGCTGCTAACAGGTGGTGTTAGGGCATTCTGCCCGGAGAGACAACATGTCCAATGGGAAAGACACAAGTGCTGCAGAGAAGTGAGTACAGCTCAAGTTTGTCCTCAAGTGTGTCTGAAGCCTGGTGGCTGTTGCTGCTCTGTCTGGATCCGCCGGCCTGATTCTGTTTAGATTAAATCAACCTGCACAGGAAACACTGATATTAATAATAATTCATCCTGTGCTGCACCAGGAAGCAAAAGATTCAGTCCTCCTTTCTTTGTTCTCTGCCAGCGTTCATTATTATTACGTACAGACAGCAGGAGCCTGACAAACCAAACAGCTGATAGCTTACTGAGAACATCATCTTTAAAGTTACAGTATTTTGATATTCAGGACAAAACGCAGGTGTTGTATGGGCGGATTATGAGACAGTGATTCCCTGGGCACAGACATGCAAAAGGCCCCACCACCTCTCCTACACTGGGGCAAGACACACAGACCTTGTGGTTGTTTTATGTTTCTCTGTGGTAGTTTTGTGTCTCTTCAAAGTAGCTTTGTGTCTCTATGTAGTAGTTTTGTGTCTCATTGTAGTTGTTTTGTGTCTCTGTAGTCTTTTCTGTCTATTTGTAGTAGTTTTGTGTCTCTTTGTAGTTGTTTTGTGTCTCTATGTAGTTGTTGTGTGCCTCTTTGTAGTTGTTTTGTGTCTCTGTAGTCTTTTGTGTCTATTTATAGTAGTTTTGTGTCTATTTGTAGTGGTTTTGTGTCTCTATGTAGTTGTTGTGTGCCTCTTTGTAGTTGTTTTATGTCTCTGTAGTCTTTTGTGTCTCTCAGTAGTAGTTTTGTGTCTCTATGTAGTTGTTGTGTGCCTCTTTGTAGTCTTTTGTGTCTCTGTAGTAGTTTTGTGTCTCTATGTACTTGTTTTGTGTCTATTTGTAGTAGTTTTGTGTCTCATTGTAGTTGTTTTGTGTCTCTATGTAGTTGTTGTGTGCCTCTTTGTAGTTGTTTTGTGTCTCTGTAGTCTTTTTTGTCTCTTTGAAGCAGTTTTGTGTCTCTATGTAGTTGTTTTGTGTCTCTGTAGTCTTTTGTGTCTCTCCGTAGTAGTTTTGTGTCTCTATGTAGTTGTTGTGTGCCTCTTTGTAGTTGTTTTGTGTCTCTGTAGTCTTTTTTTTCTCTTTGAAGCAGTTTTGTGTCTCTTGGTGGTTGTTGTGTCTTTTGTAGTTGTATTATGTCTCTGCAGTTTTTGTGTGTCTCTTTGTGGTTGTTTTGTGTCTCTGTAGTCTTTTGTGTCTATTTGTAGTAGTTTTGTGTCTCGTTGTAGTTGTTTTGTGTCTATTTGTAGTCGTCGTGTGCCTCTTTGTAGTTGTTTTGTGACTCTTTGTAGTTGTTTTGTCTCTAGTCTTTTTTGTCTCTTTGAAGCAGTTTTGTGTCTCTTTGTAGTTGTTTTGTGTCTCTTTGTAGTAGTTGTGTATCTCTTTGTAGTAGTTTTGCGCCTCTTTGTTTTTTGTGTCTCTAGTCTTTTTTTGTCTCTTCAAAGTAGTCTTGTGCCTCTTTGTAGTAGTCTTGTGCCTCTTTGTGTTTTTTGTGTCTCTGTCATATTTTTTGTCTCTTTGTAGTAGTTTTGTGCCCCTTTGTGGTTGTTTTTGTGTCTCCTTGTTGTAGTGTTGAGTCTTTTTGAAGTTAGTTTGTGTCCGTCCACAGTTCCTTTGTGGTCTCTTTTTGCCTCTGTGGTCATTTTCAGTCTCTTCCTGGTCAGCATGTATTATTTTGAGTCATATTTTGCAGGTGAAGGTTGGGGGCGTTCCCCTGGGCCTGGGCCTGGGCCCAGTAGTCCTGGTTAGTAACCCTTCAATTGGTGCTGCAGCGTATTGTGTGATGATGCTCTGATTGCATCTTGTGTTTAGTGAAATGAACTTCAGGCAAACTTTAATGCATGTATCTCAGAGGCTGTGAACCTCTGACCTGACCACACATGGACTCATGTATGTTTATCAGTGTGCACCCTGCTGCTGCTGCTGCTGCTGCTGCTGGTGGTGACTTCCCCTTTTCCCCCATGACACACAGCTGTGTCTCCACTCTGTGCCTTTGCTGTGTACATGTTTTAACCATGCATGTGTTTGTGCTGCAGCTCCTCACAGATGACCCTGAAAGAGAGCCTGGATGAGTGTATGGAGGCCTTGGATCTCTTCCTTAACAACCACTTCAGTGAGAGCCTGGAGAGGCTGCGGCCAAGGTAACAGAATAATCCATGAGTCACGTTTGGCTCCTCAGAGGTTTGAACCAGCTGCTGCTGCCTGAGGTCGTAGTGCTCTGTAGTTTTAGCACATTCACGGTGGCGTGTTTCAGGATGATCTCAGCAGTATTGGGTCTCAGGTGATGTTGATAAACTTCTGTGTAAAGTGCTTCTTGTCAGCTGAGACACGAGGGTGGCTCTGGTAGGTTTCAGTTCTCCAGGATATGAGGTGTTTGCTGAAGCTGACGCCCAAGGTCTGACTGATTCAACAGCCAACAGAATGGCAGCCCTGCAAAATAAACACTGTGCACAAGACAGACTGGGACGGCAGAGGAGATAGGACGAATACAGAGAGAGCCAGATATTTACTCTTATCTTTTCTCAGCAGGAAAATGTGCAGGTCATACAGGAGCTGTCCTCTGTTTGCTCACAGTGTGAAGTGTATGATGTTGATCTGCGACTCTGTGTTTCCCATGCAGAGTGAATGAGAGTATGTACCACGCTCTTATCTACGCCACAGTGCTGGAAATGCAGGCCATGATGACTTTTCAACCTGATGACATCACCAACGCAGGAAATACCATGAAGAATGCCCAGGAAGTGTGCCAGAGGTCAGGAGGTCTTGTCAGTGTGGATTATTTTTAAACTGATTTTACTCATTTCATAGACTGGAGTCAAAAAAAGTCGCCACCCCCTTTAAAACACTTTGTTCTGTGAGTTGCTGCCAGCTCCTCCTCTGCAGCCTGTGAGCCAAATTTACATGAGTGCATTTACATGGCCAGTTTCTGAGCGTCAGTTTGACTGTGTTTGCATGAGAGAAGCTTCACAGCGGCTGCTGAGATACTGACTATGAACCCGTCTAATTACTGGATGAACGCTGGTGTGGTTAGCAGGAGTAGTGACACAGTTTATTCTGTTGACACTGAAATGTTGTTTGGTGTTTTCAGGTATCGACGGAAGTCTCCAGGTTTGACTAACAAGTCAGTGGGAGAGTCACTCACTGAAGGTAAAAGGCTTTAATGTGTCACTTCTTTTTAAAGGAAGGTGCTGCATGGGCGCATCATGAGACAACAGGGCCCTGGGCACAGACATGTAAAGGAAACAGAACCAAACTTTTAGCTTCTAAAATGATCAGTTGATTTACGCTGCGCTGCAGTGAGGATTAGAATATATGACCTTCACATAATCCGCTCCAAATTAATCTATATTTTTAAAGTCATTACTAAAAGTGTGTGTCATATAAAAACTAAAGTGATGGTCAGAGTTGTCACAGTGAAATTTAAGGTGTGCTGATGGATTCACGTCATCAACTCATGCATTGAGTAACATTACAAGTTAACGTTCCACCTTAAAAGTTGCCGGCAGTCGGCCCAGTGAATGAAGTTATTTTTTTCTCTTTCATTTTATAGTTGTAGTTTACTGATGTATGAACAGAGGTTACATAAAACCAGAGTGAGCGTCCTCTACTGACCAATCAGACTGCAGGGTTTCTAGCTCCACCTTTTAGTACCAGATCTGTGTGCTAGGTACCCCAACAGAGGGGGGACCAAACATGGGGACGCTAAGGAACGCTTCTGTTGGGACCATCCACAACTTTTTAAATGAAAAACTCTGAACTGAACTGAACTGAACTGAACTGAACGAAGGCTTTAAAGTTCTTCTTTTTTTGGTCAAATGAAAATGGGTCGGCCAATTTATTATTTCACCCACCTGCTGTGCCTGCGCGTGCACATGTGTGTGTTAAATAATAACATATATAGCAACCCTACATTCTTGTAACATGATGCCATGTTGTGAATCGAATTAAAATAAATATGCTCAGACAGAGATCATGAGTGTGTCTCAAATCACATACTTCTGCTAGTACACTTCAGTGTAGTACACTGTGGGCACTCCATACTTCTTTCATGGGTAGTAGTGTTGTCTCAGATCGCACACTGCTGTTTTGACGACGGCTTTTTTTTAACCACCTCATCTTCTTCTTTATCTTCTTTTTCAACGGCGAATTGCAAACGGATGGTGCAGCATTATCTCCAACATTTGTCCTATCAGCTTCTATTCGACAACAGTATCAGTCCATAGTACAAAAACCATGTCTAACTTACATCTGTATAACGCAGCAGTGTTCACTGTAGCCACTTGAGGCTCCTTGTTGTCTCCAGCCACCATGACAAAAGTTGAGAAGTCTGCGATGTCGCTTCTGCTGTGTCACAAAGACGCCGGCCGTTGAGCGTGAGAGGTGTCCGTCATTCCACACTCAACTTTTGGACTGTTTTGAGTGCGCCAGTAGTTCACTGCATTTACCTGTACTATGCAATGTGAACAGTGCTTAGTACAGAAATGTGTGATTTGAGACACGGAGCACGAGTACAGTGGGAGGCTTTAACAAAACAATAACAGATGATGCAGCTGTGCCTTTGAAATGTGTGGTAGGTTAACCCTGCAGTCACATCTGGGGCTGTGTTTTATGCTTCATTGCTTGGTGACCCCGATTGTTTTCTGTCACTTAACGTGTGTGTTTATGGGTGTGTTTCTGCAGTGCAGCTTCATGCTGAAGTGTGTTACGCAGAGTGCCAACTCCAAAGAGCTGCTCTCACCTTCCTACAGGTGCACTTATCTGCTTTTTAAAACCCAGAAATGAACAGTACATTATTAAGGTTTTTGTATAAATAATAATATAAACAGCATGAAAGTTAATCCATTTATGGCATCTTATCTTTGTGGAATGAAATGTAATTGAAGCACCTCAGTTTGCATTCATCCCTCTTTTTTTGTATTTGTTGCAGGATGAGAACATGGTGAGTTTTATCAAAGGAGGGATCAAAGTACGAAACAGTTATTTAATTTACAAGTAAGTAATGAACACTGGGTTTATATTCAGTGAATGTCAGTGTTGTTTCATGTTAAAGAGTACATTTATCTGACTGTTTAGCGTCAGTGTTGTAAAAAGTATTTGTTAGCTTATTATTACAGGTGCACTCCAACGATTTTACAAACAAAGTTCAGTTTATGCCGGCCTCACATCGATGACGTTTCAAGCTGTTTCACTGTAAAGACAAATTTCCAATGAGAAAATCATAAGTTTTGCTCCTGTGAGTCAGTCTGAGTGAGTTTTTTCTCGTCTTGATGTTCCGATAAATTCAAACATGTTTAATATTATCCTACGTTTTTAGTCTCGGCTCATGTAAAAACTGAAGTTCAACAACGTGAGCATTGTCAACAAGCAATAGCCAAACAGGAAGCCGCAAACCAGGTAGACAGTGAACATGGAGGTGACTCTGAGGAGGTGCAAGAACAAGAAGTCTTGGTTCTCTTGTTCTGTGGAAAAGGAGGAGAAACTGTTGGAGTTGTGGAGTGAACAAGAGTCAGTGTTTAATTTGTATCTGATCCACCAACCTGCAGTTATTTTAGTGAGAAATCTTAATTTTTGAAACAGTAACACGGTCTCCTCACAGTGAAACAGCTCCGCTAAGCAAAGGAGGCTGGCAGCAAGTCGAGGCGACAAAATCCAAAATGTAAAGTTTGCTCACGAACAGTTTATCTGTAGGGGTTATATTGATGCTGAATTGACAAGAATACTGTCGACATGTGACGCCTTTTATCTTGTGTATCATGTTGTTAAACCGCCCCCTACACCCTCTCCCTACCCACCTCCACGTTCACGTGGAGCGTTCGCCACATTGAACGCCGTCCCAGACTAACTAGTGAGGAGTGTGAGTGAGTTATAAAACCCTCCAACAGCGAGCCTGCGCAACGCTGTATTGTGTTCATCATGGAGGACGCTCCGTACAAATAAAGTTCCACGTGACTACCCTGAGGAATGTGAACTGCTCAAACTGAGATAGACATTAAATATTGTCATACAGACGCTACATAGTGTTTAGGATCAGATCTACACCTCTCTAGTCTCTATAAAACTGCAGTCGTGTTTATTTTACAGTAAACTGTTGTAAAAACGAGCAGCTTACAAACGTCTAAAAAAGTAAAATACAAGAAATGGGATACGTTTTACACCCTTTTATGTATCATTTATTTATGTGTTTATTTATTGATTTACTTATTTATCGATTCATTTATTTATTTTAAGGGCAGAAGGAAAATTTACGCTGCCAAAATTCTGGTAAACAGCAGCAAATACATATAAGGAACAGAAATGGGAGTCCTTTTACTTGTCTCCGTGGTAACCAAAGACAAAGACAGCTCCTTTTTTCTGCCGCAGAGAGTGAAGTTTGTCCCAAAGCTTAGCGCTGTGTTTACACTGTACATGTTCAGCTTTGAAGGCGACTACAAATGGAGTGACGCTCCGAGACGGCGTGGGAGTGAGTAGGGTCCGGTTTGGGAAAGGTCCCCGTTACAGTCTGTAAATATTGACCCTGCAAGATCCCCAGTCTTTGTAAAATCTCCTGTGTGTGACTAAAAACTTGTTGTCATTATTTGCTTTACTTTATTTACATTATTTACATGAGTTGTGTAATATCTAGTGTCGTTTTCGAGGGAAGTCTATGCACAAAAATAGTAACCCTGGTGATGTCATAGTGATGTCATCAGGGCTATCTCAGAGAGATGCTTTGTGTTGCATTATGGGAAATGTAGGCCTCAGTGTTTTCAGAGCAAAGTCAGAGTATCTCTGCTTTTGTTGCTTTTGATTTTCTGTATCTGAACCACATAGAAGCACAACGTTAAATCGCTGTTGTGCCCCTTTATTTTTGATTTGTTGCACAGTCACACACTGAACATGATGAAGTTTTTACACTGAGCTGTGCTGTTAAACATAATTTGCCTTTTGTCATCCAGAGATCTGCATTCCTTCATAAAATCTCACAGCTGTCTCAAAGGGCCGAGCCACGTCCACTTAGAGGGGGGAATATCGTTTGGAATAGGAGCGTTTAATCTGGTACGTGACAGAGGAACCTTTAAACGCCGTCAGCTGACTGTGTGTTTGTACCGTGCAGCTCATCAGGTCTTCTTTATCCACAGACGCTCTCTCTGTTTCCTCCACGGATACTCAAAGTGTTGGAGTTTGCAGGCTTCTCTGGAGACAAGGTGTGACACACAGATTTCCTCCGTTCAGCACTCACTCGTTAACTCATTCATGAACTCATGTGATGTGTTGTTATTTCAGGAGTACGGTCTGTCTCTGCTGCACGACGGTGCGACGGGGACGAATCTGCGCTCCATGCTGTGCGCCCTGCTGCTGCTCTGCTACTACACCTTTCTCACGTTCATACTAGGTAGCGCTGTGCACTGTCCACACATGACGACGTGTCACGGACGGATTCTGTTCAGTTTATCACATCAGATCTGCTCTGTCCTCTCAGGAACAGGTGAGGGGGAAGTGGCCGAGGCTGAGAGGCTGCTGAAACCTTTCCGGCTCCGCTACCCACGGGTGAGTGCTCAATAAATCACTTCTAGGGAAAAACCTGGGGACTTTCTGTCGGTAGTGACGGGGTTAACTAGGGTTGCAAATTTTAAGCACTTTCCTCAATCAGTTATTGGTAAAATTAATCATGAAATAAAAAAAAAACATTAAAAATTTAATTATACCAAAGGATAACAAGTGCAATAACAATATGTTGCTGTGACCTTTGGGAAAGAAAACAAAGGTCACAGGGACATACTGCACTCGTCAATTAATCATTATTATCCCTAGTGTTGACCCTTACATGTGCTTTTCAGCTGCAGATGTGGCTTCACTTTGTTTTGTTTCTCTTTGTGGTTGTTTTTATCTTTTTGTAGTTATGTTGTGCCTCTTTATATCTACTAGAGATGCACCGATCCAGCTTTTTCAGTTTCGATCCCGATGCTGTGGCTTTGAGTATCAGCCGATACCAGATACCGATCCGATACCAGGGTTGACCTACCTTTACACGTAGAACAGAAAAGACCAGAGGCATCAGGCATTGATGACTACACAGTTCTTTCCTACGATAAAATGAAACAAGATGAAACAGATTAATTAATTGATGAACTATTTATTTTTAACAAAAATAAACAATTGTGCAACAGCAGTTGAAATAGTGTGAAATACCTCCACACAGCAGATTCTCTCCTTTGCTCTATGACGTATGTTGTAGCTCACGTCGCAATAGATTTAAAGGGAAAGGATCACCTCAGGTATAGATCGCATTTTCCGATACCCAATCCATCTGTTTTGATGATATCGGGGCCGATATTCGATCCAGATATCAGATCGGTGGATCCCTACTCTTTGCATCTCTTCATGGTCACGTTCAGTCTCTTCCTGGGCAGTACATGTTCATTTTAGTGACATTTTGCAGGTGAAGATCGGGGGCCCATGACACGTTAGGCCCCTGGGCACAGGCATACCAAAGCCCCACCGCCTCTCCAACACTGGAGTGAGACTCAGACTTTTTGGTTGTTTTACCTCTTTTTTGTTGTTATGTGTCTCTTTGTCGTCATTGTGCGCCTCATCATAGTCGCCTGTTTTGGTGGTTTCATTTCTCTTTGTGGTAATTTTGTCCTTTTTGGTCATTTTTTATGGTTGTTTTGCCTCTTTTTTTATGCCTCCATGTCGACGAAAGCCGTGGCCAGAGGCATGATGTTTTCAGGTTGTCCGTCTCATTCTCATGAACGTGATATCTCAAACATCCAAACATCCACTTGGACTCAAGAATGAACTGATTTTAACGTGCTGGTCAGTGGTCAGTGGAATGATGGTCAAAGTAATTTTGTGTCTCTTTGTGGCCATGTTCGGTCTCTTCCAGGACAGTGCGTGCTAATAGTGACATTTTGCAGGTGAAGATCAGACGGGCAGTGACACATTGGGCCAAAAGCCCCACCACCTCTCCAACGCTGGAGCGAGACACACAGACTTTGTGGTTGTTTCGTGTCTCTTTGTAGTAACTTTGCGCCTCATTGTAGTCACATGTTTTTGTGGTTTTGTTTCTCTTTGTGGTAACTTTGTAACCTGGACATCCAGATGCCCCGCCCCTAGCAAATTCAAATTTGCACTGCATGGGGATCTGACCCCGACGAGCAGAGCCCGCTGAATCGCCAGTCGGATCAGTCAGATCAGTCTGTCTGACAGAGGCGGGCTCTTGGCTGGCGTAACATGATGACAACAGCGCTGCACCGTAGGAGTCTAAAAGTAAACAGCCAAGATGGCAGCTGCCGAATGACCGCGTCCATTCAGTTTAGCTTTGGAAGAAACGCTAAGACAGCTACACTTATCTTTTTCCTTGAGAGAGGAACAGAAGACTGCCCGAGAAGCCTTCCAGGAACGTTTTTGCCATTTTGCCGACGGGATACGGCAAAAGCAGAATATATCAGTTAGCCCCACTGGTAGGCAAACACATGGGGCTTAGTGCAATGAATACGTCACCTTGTTTTTTGCTCTGATTGGCTATCGTGCTATCCAATTGCATGCGGTGGCATTTAATATGCCTCAGTTAGTGCTGCCTCTTGGGTAGGAAGGGTGTATCGGTGAGGACCAGACTCAAAATCTTTCTAGATTTGAGTCTGGATTTGTCCTTCTTGGTCTTTTTGTGTCTCTTTGTGGTGGATTTGCCTCTGTTTTTTAATGCCTCCAGAGGCATTTTGTTTTCGGGTTGTCCGTCCCATTCTTGTGAACGAGATATCTCAAAAACACCTTGAGGAAAAAAAATTTCTAGGAGGGAAAGATTAAACTTCTGGAGGAATACAATCATAGAAAGAACAAACTACAAAGTAAACACCAGAAAACAGAAAACGACTGTAAGAAGAAGCAACGAAAATGCCGTTGCAGTTAAGACAGAGTCAGAGGGACCTTAAGGGTTTTTTTTTACCTTGCTTTGGTTGCTAAGGGCTTTTGTGCAGCCATGGATGGATTCCTTAAGTATAAGACAGGTGTGTGTTGTTAGATCATTTCAAGTGTGTGCTAGATGGTTGTTTTAAAGTGTTCCTGCTTTGGTTAATAACACACAACATTTTCTACACATTACTGTTTTTATTCTTGATGTTGTGTATCCGTCATTTATGGCAGACTTTATTGTTGTTCATCTTTTCATCTTCATTTATACTGTTTTTATTGCTGTTTATAATTCTTGATAAACTTATTTGTGTTTATGGCCTTTTTATGATTTCATTGCGATTGCTGTCGTATATTTTTATCTCTTTAGCTCATTAAATATGAACTCAGGGCTTTGCTTTCAAGAGTTTAATGCTCAGTCAGTTTTCCCTGAATAAACAATGTCCTCAGTTCCTCTTTGAAACTTTTCTCTGTCATCAAGTCATTGGTCTTTTTATCGTTGTATTTAATCGCCTTCACTGCGTCTCACTGTGCGTCAGCTTCTCCTCTCTGATCCCTCCTTCCACTCTTTCTCTCGTCTTTCTATCGTCCCGTCAAACACACCCTGATTACTTTGATCTGACACTCACTCCACCTTCCTCTCACACGGTCCCTCCTGCTCCCTGAATCCTTACACTGACTCTCCTTCCTTTTACCTGCGCTCACACACACCTCTGTGCTATCGCTCCACCTGACTCACATTCTTGTAAATCCACAATCCCTGTCTCCGCTCCACCTTTTACCTACATGCCTGCCCATCCCAGAGAGCAAACTCAGAGCTTTGACACAGTGTGTACCAAACCAGAATGGAAATGTCTTGGTTAAACACAGCCAAGAGTAATTGCTATATGACAGGTCTCCTGACAGACAGAGGAGTGTTTAACACGGTATATTAAAATGTCACACTGACTGCTGGTTTCCTCTGTGCAGGGAGCGATATTCCTCTTCTTTGCTGGCAGGACTGAAGAGATCAAGGGGAACATTGATGAGGTGTGTTTAGTTACATGACTTTAAACTACGGCTGTTAATCTTTTATTTCCTGCACATTTAATATTTTAATAGAACATTTTCCCCACAAACTGTGAGTCACTGTAAGTGATAGATGAGCTTCATGGGAGCGACTGAAGCATGAATCACTTTTGGTGATATTGATACCGTGTTTTTGCCCCCGAGCTACCAGCGCCCAGCGTTAATGTTTAATACACAACATACCTCCAATGTTTCATGTTTCATGTGATGTAATGTCACTGTGCTACCAGGCGGTGGCGCTCTTCGAAGACGGCTGCAAGGCCCAGCAGGCGTGGAAGCAGTTCCACCACATGTGCTACTGGGAGCTGATGTGGTGCTTCACCTACAAGCGAGCGTGGAAGATGGCGTACTTCTACGCAGACCTGCTGAGCCAGGAGAGCCGCTGGTCCAAGGTACAGAGCACGAGACGGGACGGAGGAGAGCAGAAGAGATGAAGTTTATTTATTTATTTATTTATTTAACAGGGTCAGTGCACGGCTACTGAGCTGCACCAGAGTTAGCCGTAAGCTAATTTTCATCTGTAGTCCCTGGACACGAAACAGAAAATGATTTCTCTGCTAAAAGACACTGTTATATAAAAAACACAGTTACAAAACATATTTATGACACAATGGCTTCAACAACAACAACAGCAAGACAACACGACATCAAGTCATAACAACAATAACAACAGCAACTATAAAACCAGAAAGATTCGCAAGAAATCTTGACGGGTGCCTGCTGCTGTCACTGAGTCCTATTAACAGCAGCAGCTGAGTCGTTGAAACGTACCGCCTACTGCAAGTACTACAAACTACATGTACGACAGTTACTGAGCAGATTCCATTGACACATTTTTGCGATCAACACAAATTTTCCTACGTTTTGATGTATAACTGTACCCTGGAAATCCAGAGTTCTCGCGAGAGCACAATTTGAATTTGCTCAGCGAGTCACTCTGGCAATCAGTAATGATGCTCATTACCCATGCCGTTGGAGCCGAGCTGCACCAATCACATCGGTGTATCTGATATAGGCGGGCCAGAGGCGAGCTAAACAGATGACGACAGCGCTGCGACAACGAAGTCCAGAATCAGTCAGTAAACATTGCAAGATGGCTACGGATGAACACCAGTTGTTTGAAACGGCTTTGGCCGCTACAATGAACGAGTTAGACTTGGCTTTTTCTCTAAAAGAGGAACAGAAGACGGCGCTCGAGTCTTTCCTTTGCAAGAAGGACGTTTTTGTTGTTTTGCCGACCGGATACGGCAAGAGTCTAATCTACCAGTTAGCTCCGCTGGTAGCTAAGCTCTGGATACGTCACCCCGTGTATTGTTCTGATTGGTCGTAGTGTTATCCAATTGCATGCAGTGATATTTACAAATGCATGTTTGGTGCCGCCCCTTGAGTTGGGCCATTTGCATTACTCATAGCCAGACCCTAAATCTTTCTAGATTTGGGTCTGGATTTCCAGGCTAGTATAATTGTGTATGTAGAGTGAAAATTGTGGCACACTCTAGCGATGATGTCACCACTCTAGCTCTCTCCCATAGACGCCCATTATAAAATCTGAAGCGTCAAAACATCATGAAATATAAACTGTGATTTCTTTAAACTGTATGAGATATCAAAATGTCCATTTGGTCCAACAAAGTAGAGAGTCTTGTGAGCCGTTCAAATTTTGAATAATTTTTCTGCGTCAAAGTTTGGCGAATTGGTGTGGCCTCAGAGAGGAAGGATTTTACGTTGATTTCTCAACGATTTTGAATCACTTTGAATGCGAAATTTTATGTAGTTTTTTATGAATTTTGTAAAATGCTGGACGAATCTCCCGAATTTTACATAGGTTTTGATGTATTTTTTGCAGATGTGTTGGCAACGCTGCAAGACGAGTTTTTACGAAAGATTGTGAATAATAAGAATAAATGCGAGGAACAGTAACAGGTTGTGTTTGTGTTGCACAGCAGCGCCCCTAACTACAACATAAACTAAGTGTTTGAGTTCATGTGTGATGGGAACATGATTGGCTTGATTTTAGCCGTGATTTCATCTTAAATTTAAAACCAACAAAGCTGCTGCTCTGTCTGACCTCACCTGGTGCTGAGTTCCAATAGTTTGAAGCTCTAACAGAGACTGATCCACCAACCTCAGTCGATCTGTGCTGCGCTGCACAGTTCAACTCTGTTGGTCGTCCTACATGTCCTCCCATTGTCTGAGCGCAGCTGTTTGAACTCTTGCTCTATAAATGTGTGCGTGGATGTTGTCAAGCATCTTGAGACCTCTGTGTGTGTCTCTCTGCCAGGCCATGTATGTTTACATGAAAGCTGCTTACCTCAGCATGCTGCCTGAAGACGTGGCCCGGCCGTTTGGGGAGGACGAGGTGGAGCTGTTTAGGTAAACACACACACACACACACACACACACACACGGTGACAGTGTCTCTATTTATCTCAGAAACACACAGCTACTGTCCTCAGGCTCATGTTGTACTTATATGTCACCATGTGTATGAGAGATGCCCCGATTGTGAAATTTTGGGCTGATGATGTTTTTATGCCTCCGTGCTGGAGATAGCTGCAGCTAATGTCCGTCTGTCTCATTCTTTTGAACACGATGTCTCAAGAGCACCTTAAGTGAAGATTTTTTAAAGGTTGTAGGTCAAAGGTCAGTGTGACACTGTGGCATTATCAGGGAAACGATAGGGTCCTCTGACATGTTGATGGCGAGCTTACTGCGTCCTTTTGTCCTGACAGCGTCCCGGTGAAGATCTGTGTTCGTCACAAATGATGTTTTCTATTGTCCCCAGGATGACGGGATGCTCTGCTGGTTAGTCTTCATGAAATTAATCTGACACAACAGAAAAACATCGGCCTCTGCCGTCTGTGAATGTCATCTTATTTGCTTACAGATCGATGACGGTCAACAAGGAGTAGAAGAATATCAGCCGATACCGATGTTGAGTCGATTAATTGGTGCATTCCTGCTTCATTTGGATGGAAACCTGCTGTTTCAGTCAGTGTGTTTCCATGACATCAGAGAAAATGGATTTATTGTGTCAGTCCGACTAAAACCGGACTTTTAAAATCCTTGTAAACATGAGAGTCGAATTCCCTCTGCATGTATACAGTCAATCAGACCCAAACTGGCCGAGGCGCTCTGAGCATGCTCCACAGTTTCCGCCCCGGGCTTTGACCCGGAAGTCCAATAGCATTAAATGTGTAAGAGAAGAAGAAGCCGGTAACAACATGGAGAAATCTACATCCAGAACCGTGACTTTTTGGACGGACCAAATGTACAGAGCTGTAAAGTTGTCCACCATGGTAGCAGTTAGCTGCTAGCTAACCGTAGCTAACTTGTTTGTCCATTGTTTGGTCTGTGACGTAATAGGTCAACAGGAAAAAGGTCCAATACTAACAAGCTGAAAGGGGGCATATCTCCACCTATCGTAGAGGAGTCGCACATACTTGGCTCAATAAATGGATTCCCCTCCCGTGCTTGTATACTGGGACAAGGACAGTAGACCAGTTAGATGTCCTCGTCCAGCTGGGACTGTAGCTCAGATGTGTTTTTATTATTTTCCTGTGTGTTCAGACAAGTGCCGGCCTTCAAACAGAAGATAGCAGGGAAGTCTCCCCCGACTGAGAAGTTTGCTATCCGGAAAGCCAGACGCTACAAAGCTCACTGCCCGATCAGGCTCCCAGTGCCAGTGCTGGTAATGTTTCACACACACACATACACACACACACACACACACACACACACACACTGTGCAGCATGATGCAGCCTTCCAACAGCGTTCCCTGTGTCCTTACAGGAGATGATGTACATGTGGAACGGTTTCAGTATGATCAGCAAACGACCAGAGCTGACTGAAGGCATGATGCAGACTCTGGTGGAGGCAGAGCGCACCCTGCTGGAGTCTCCTGGTAATGACACTTCTCCCAAATCATGTTCCAGAACAAACCCCGCTCACCTGAAATATAACTGTACATAAAATAAGCTCACACCTGTCTGCTGATGACGTTCGCTCCCTCCTCCACAGACAATGAGTATTCAATGGATGACCGCTGTCTGATCCATCTGCTGAAGGGTCTGTGTTTGAAGAACCAGGGTCACCTCCAGGCTGCTGAGGAATCCTTCAGCAAAGTGTTGTCCAGGTGAGCTGCACTGGATTCATTTTCTGATCCCGGCTTAACAAACTGTTTACCTTCTGTGAGCAGAGGAACACCAGTAAGTGCAGTGTGTGCTGTTTTTGACGACATGGAGAAACACACTGTCATGTGGAATTAGGACCAGAGGATCACTTAATGTGGCATTCACCCAAAAAAGAATTCAAAACATAAACAAGTTGTGCTGAAAAGGCCTTTTTAGTTCAGAGTTTGCTTTTGTCAGAATTTTAGCTGAAGCTTTTCCTGACATTTAAAGGAATACTTCGTCCACAAAATGACCATTTGTCTATCAGTTATTCACCCCGTGTTACGTTGAATTCACAAACACATGATTGTTCTTCTCTCATACCTTCATGATGAACGGAGAATCCAAAAACCAAGAAAATTCTTGATGAATTGAAGTCAAAGGGGTCCACGTTTAACAACAGCAAAACTACATTAAAGCATCTGTTGACAAACTCGTGCAGTTTAACCAAAGAAGGGTTGCAACGGTATTTTCGATACAATTGAGATTTTCACAGTACGATAACCATCTCAGTATCACAGTATTACAGGATTATTATTATAATAAATCAAAGTGACCCTTAAAGGTATGAAAACAGAGGGGCTATTTTTAGCTGAACAAATGTTTTACTACTACAGTATATAAATCTTAAAACCATTTATTTAAATGGAAGTTTGTGTAAAAAGTCGACCCTTTTTAAAATAAATTAAGTTAAGATTCTCTGTCCAGTTGCTTTTTCTCGCAGATAGTCAAATGTACACAGTGTGATAACCGTCAGCTGCAACCCTAAATCCAAGTCTCTTTTATCCAGTCAGATGCTCAATGCTTCACAAACACATGCATTTTCACTAAAACGTTACTGTGTACAGTAGTTTGCAATTCAACCACTTCATCCGACCATGTCGATATGCCACCCTACATGTCTTTTATAGCAGCCTTTGTTTGGTCGAGCTCGCTTCGAGCCAGTGCTGCGTTGTTTGCAAACTGCCTGGAGTTCATTCTTTAGATAGTTGAAAGAGAATTTTTCAATTCGGCTCTTCTCGCAGCAGAAATGTCCTCTTTTAAACTCGAAAGGATCTGGGACTTTAGATCTTCTGTACCATTTCTTCTGAGCCCGTATGTGGAGGTGTCCAGTTCCAGTTCCAGTCAGCACTTGCACTCTGCGCCGAGGAGACGTTGGGCCTGGTGTTAGACCGTCCGCTGTACTTATATTTCAGCAGATAAGCTGCCATTACCGTGTAAAAACCGCACTGTAGCTTCGTAGGGAGCACTTGCGATATGAGTGAACTTGTTTGTAGATCAGCGCTGTTTCAGTTTTGCAGGACGCCTTACTCCATTATTCACTCTTAACTTAAAGTACAATTACACCTCTAAAAATGACTCAAGTAAAAGTGAAAATTACAATTTGAAAACTAGGTACTTATATAAAAGTTAAAAAATACCTGGTTAATAACTTAAAGTACGAGTTATTTTTATGTCTCCGTGCTGGCGATAGCCGTGGTCAGAGGTGTTATGTTTTCAGGTTGTCCGTCTGTCTGTGTATCCCATCCTTGTAAACGCGATATCTCAAAAACACCTTAAAGGGATAGTGCACCCAAAAATGAAAATTCAGCCATTATCTACTCACCCATATGCCGAGGGAGGCTCAGGTGAAGTTTTAGAGTCCTCACATCACTTGCAGAGATCCAAGGGGAGAGGAGGTAGCAACACAACTCCACCTAATGGAGGCTGACGGCGCCCCAGATTCAAACGTCCAAAAACGCACCGCGCTCATGTGTGTGCACTTGGGCGAGACCGTTAGACATGGACACCACCTTCATGTGTGTTCACGTGCTTTCGCTGGTCTGGTGCAAGCACGCACACGCGACGTGGTGCCCAGAGAGGCAGTCAGAGCTACAGGCTACAATGAGGCTAAAAACAGAGTTCAAATGAGGTTTTTCCAAACAACTTTTTATGTCGGGGCTTCAGGACACTTGGATCACTACGGACGAGCAGTACGGAGATATTTTGTGGTTTCAATTATGTGTTTTTGGACGTTTGAATCTGGGGCGCCGTCAGCCTCCATTAGGTGGAGTTGTGTTGCTACCTCCTCTCCCCTTGGATCTCTGCAAGTGATGTGAGGACTCTAAAACTTCACCTGAGCCTCCCTCGGCATATGGGTGAGTAGATAATGGCTGAATTTACATTTTTGGGTGCACTATCCCTTTAAGGGAATTTCTTCAAATTTTGCACAAATTTGGACTCAATGATGAACTCATTTGATTTTGGTGGCCAAAGGTCAATGTCACTGTGATGTTTTCTATCTCGTTCTTGTGAATGCGATAGATCAAAAACACCTTTAAATTTGGCACAGACGTTCACTTGAACTCAACGATGAACTGATTATATTTTGGTCATGGTCAATATGACCTTGTATCAGTATCATTCATGTGAATGTGATATCTCAAGAACAGCTTTAGGGAATTTCTTTAAATTTGAAACATCCACGTCAAACGTCTATTTGGACTGAAGAATAAGTGTTTTTGGCCATGACTCCAGAATTCAAACACTGATTATTCCACAATTTCGCACAAATGTCTAACAGG